TTTATAATGTTTTGTTAGAAAGAGATTCGGAAAATGAATTATTTAAAGATTGCATGATAAAGTGGGCGCAAAATTTTGCAGAACCAGTGATGTTGGAAACATGGGAAAAAATATGAGTCCAGAATGTTAAATTTACACAGTCGCAGAATTTGAGGGAAAATTTTTATAAAATGTTGTATAGGTGGCATTTAGATCCTAAGAAACTGTCATGCATGTATCCTAATGTTCAACCAAAATGTTGGAGATGTGATTGTTTAGATGCTACATATTATCATATATGGTGGAGTTGCAAGAAAGTGAAGGCTTTTTGGATAAAAATTTGGTGGGTTATGCAAAATGTTCTGAAGAAAAAACTCCAATTCTCTCCACAATTGTTCTTATTGGGTATAGTTAAGGGTTTTACATTGGGTGAAACAAAGCTGATATTGTATATGGTGACAACAGCTAGATTATTGATAGGTCAATATTGGAAAATTACCGTTAATCCCTGAAGAAGAAAAGGAAAGGTTAAATGAAAAGATCACTATAGAGGAATTAAAAACGGCCCTTTCTAAAATAAAGAAGAATAAAACTCCAGGCCCAGATGGTCTTCCCGGGGAATTATACCAAAAATTTGATGATGCCCTAAAATTAGAGTTACTAGAAATACTGAATGAGGCTCTGGCGGGTATCACAATTCCAGATTCGTGGAGGGAAGCGTATTTGATGCTTATTTTGAAAGAGGGTGCCGACCCGAAACAGATATCCAACTACAGACCTATCTCATTGTTGAACGCAGATTATAAACTGTTCATGAATATAATTGCGGAGAGGTTCAAAAAAATTTTAAATCGGTGGATACACAAAAATCAAAATGGCTTTCTCCCAGGGAGACAGATCAGAGATAATCTGAGAATAGTTTTAAACACCTTTGAATACTACGAACAACATCCTGAAAAACAGCTGGCCTTAATGTTTGTCGATGCCCAAAAGGCATTCGACAACTTGAATTGGACGTTTATTATAAATCAAATTGACCTAATGGGATTCGGTACTAACTTTAGGAAGATGATTGAGAATATCTATAAAAACCAGAGGGCAAATATACTAGTGAATGGAGACAGAACTCAATTGTTCCAGATTCAAAAAGGAGTGAGGCAGGGATGCCCCCTGTCTCCCTTATTATATATTTTGGCGCTAGAGGTGCTACTTAGAAAAATAAGAGCTAACAATGATATCAAAGGATTAAAGATTAGGAACGAATTATTCAAAACCCAAGCTTTTGCTGACGATGTAGCCCTCATAATGGAAGACCCATTAGAATCCGGTGGAAAATTAATGCAGGAAATACAGGAATATGGAGAGGTGGCGGGCCTTAAACTCAATAAGGATAAAACTAAATTATTAGCGAAAAACATGACAGACCTTCAAAAGGAAGAATTGGAAGATTTATTAGGCCTCCAGACAGTTAGGAAAATAAAATACTTGGGAATATGGATCACCGCGAGATTCTCCTCATTAAAAGATGATAACTATATCCCCCTTCTGCAGAAAACACACCAAGATCTTGAAAGATGGAAAAAGCTCAAATTGTCTCTGATTGGTAAAATTGCAGCGATTAAAATGAATATCCTACCAAAAATTTTGTTCCTATTCCAAAACATTCCGTTATCTTTAGATAAAAAATTCTTTTTGGACTTGAACAAACATATCAGGAATTTTCTGTGGGAGGGCAAGAAATCGCGGATTTCTTTTAAGATACTCCAAGGGAAAAGGAATTTGGGAGGTTTTGGGTTCCCTGACTGGGAACTATATCAAAAGGCGGCAAAAATAATCTGGATTAAGGAGTGGATCAAGTTACAAGATAGGAGAACCCTGACCTTGGAAGGACATGACCTTCTAGAAGGATGGCACTCCTACCTTTGGGATATAAAGAACAAGAAAAAATCATATTTTCATAAACATAAAATTAGGGAGACCCTTATTCACACGTGGGTCAAAATTAGACAGAAGATCTATACGAAAGTACCCAACTGGCTTTCCATCATGGAAGCGTTGGCGGCACCAAACAGGAGAGATGAGTACAAATGGGGTACATACAAGGATATCCTCGATGAAGAAGGGAAACTTAAATCATTGGATCTATTGAGAGATCAGGGCCTAAACTTGGATTGGTGGAACTATTTTCAGATCAACTCAAGATTCCAAAAAGAGACAAATTTGGTATAGCAGCGAAATTTGGGAACTTTGACAAAATTATTTGGGGAACAGATAAGAAAATGTTATCAAAAATCTATAACTTTCTATTAGATGAAGATAGGGCAGAGTCCATAGCAAGAAATCAGCTGAACATCTGGGAAAAAAATCTAGGACATAGACTAAATTTTAATGATTGGGAGATAGCTTGGAATAGAAACTACAAAATAACTAAATCGACAACGTTTAGGGAAAATCATTACAAATTGTTACACAGGTGGTATCTAGCCCCAGCAAGGCTAGCCAAGATGTTTCCAAATCTCTCTCCCACATGTTGGAAATGTGGAAAAACAGTCGGCACCTTCTACCACCTATGGTGGACCTGCCCTGAGACTAAAAAGTTCTGGTCCAAAATCCGACACTGGCTCTGTGAAATAACGGGACAGGAGGTAGACCTAGCCCCAGAGCTTTTCCTCCTAGGCATAACCGAAGAAGGCTTTAACAACAATAAAACCCAACTGATAATCCAGATTATAACTGCGGCTAGATTAACTTTCGCAAAATGCTGGAAAAACAAATTTATGCCCTCAGAAGAAACTCTAATAAATAAGATCCTAGAGTGCGCAGAAATGGCGAAACTGACAAGTGAGTTAAAAAACGAGGACAACTCAAAATATTATGACGTATGGGGTATTTGGTATCACTGGTTGAACAATAAGACAAAAACATGTCCTTAGAATTTGACTTGGCACATGTATTACAGTTATATTGTATAAAATAATGTATAGTTAAGGATGAAGTCTTTTTTTTTACTTTTGTTTCACTATATTGTATAAACACTGCACCTCCGAAAGGAGAGATAGATTGTATATTTTCTTTTTTGTTTTGGAAAACTCAATAAAGTATTTAAAAAAAAATATATTGGAAAAATGATGCTACGCCCACTGTTGAAGAATGGACTTTGAAGATGGCCAGCTTTGCAGAGATGGCGAAGATTTCAGCATATCTAAAAGATCAGACTCAAGAGACTTATGTATGGGAGTGGAAGAAGTGGATAGATTAGGTACAGAATAAATATCAAACTAGGAAATATCAGATAGCTTTTAGCTGAATGTATTATATAGGTGAGCGCAGGGGGTCGCACGTATGTGTGCCCATACCCATAATTCAATGCCCCCTGCGCCCGCCCCTCGCAGCCCCACCGCTTTTGGCATGCAATGGCACGGTGGGCCCAATAGGCCCATTTTTCGTCCTCCTCAGGGTCCAGAGGCTTTCTTTGCCCTCTGGGGAGGGCAAAAACAGCCTTTCCTGCCGCCCTGAAGGTCCTCCGGAGGCCGGAAACAGCCCATTTCCTGACTTCCAGTGGGCCTGAAAGGCCCGAAAATCAGCTGGCGTGCTGAAGTTGAGCTAGGGCAACGCTTGCGTGCCCACAGATATGGCTCCATCTGTCACTTGTGGCACGCATGCCATAGGTTCGCCATCACGGATCTAGCATCTAACTCTGAGCAAATTTATTTATCTTCCAGATTTTTAATTTACCCCAGTATACAATCTTCCAATTGTTTTACAGTGTCACTGTAACACTGCCAAGTGGCTACCCATAGGTACAGAGTAGAGGTTATAGCTTTCTTCACCATTTCTATTGTCACAAAGTGCATTTCACTTACATTGACCACCAGGAAATCCCCCATTAATGGTTTCATGTTTATTGGGAATAACCAGTTGTTATTTTGTAGTGCTATCAATGAGATACAACTGAAAACAGTTGCAAAATACACACAGAATATACATTATGTAAAAATAGGGGGGAGGGTGAAATCCTTCCCTCCACGTATGTGTGTGTAAGATATGCAAAATATGACAGCATAACATAACATTTGTATCTCTTTGTTCTGAGAGATTAAGGAAAGGTAGGCAGCGTATGTGATTGTGATCAAAAAGTCAGTTTGGAATTTCATGCTTGGTCAAATATGTTTTTCTTCTTATGTCATCATTGCTCTAGGCATGTTTTCTGTTACTTCATCTTCTGGAACTCCTTGGTAAGGAGGTCCCATGGATCAGGTCCCATGGATGGATCTAAGAGACTTGAAAAATCTTGGCAAATGGTCCCAATAATATTTTATTTCTAGCATCGAGTTTAAGAATTAGAAAGGAACAGGATCCATTAAATATCTAAGGCAAAGCAGTTGGATAGTTTCTTTTTCCTTGTGGAGGTTACTGGCATCAGTTAAATTCATGTAAACAGAGAATGATTTGGCTATGAGAAGGGATTCTTTTTCATATGGGCATTATTGTTTGGCATAAAGCAAAAAAATAATATTCATCTGTCTCTTCAGAGCCAGCTAAGTTTGTCCACACAGAAGTAGGCAGTTGTGTATGGGTTTTATTTCAGCTAAGTGTTTTTGACATGAAGGTTCTGAAATATCCACTGCTATGCTGTTTAAGCAAAACTAGTGTTAGCAGCTGTTACAGTTTTTTTAAAAAAATGAAAGAACTTAGTATGACATTTATTATGCCATTAATATAATCTTTATCATGTAATAATTATGTTTCTTATGTTTTTATTTTTTCTGTGCTTTTCTGAAGTGTTTTAAGACATCTTGTAAGTGTGCTCTGAATTACCATAAAATATGCAGATTGATTGTCAATCATTGGTTTTAAATGAGTAAATTATGTTTGCTTAGAATTCCTTAAAGTCAATGTTTATATTCACAAAGGTTACCAGTAGCGTAATTCAGAAATAGCATCATCTATATTTGAAAGACAGTTTTATTTTGTAAATTGATTTCTAGCCTTCTCTGTATACATTTTGAATGTCTTTGTAGGTGCTGATTTATTGAAGCTGACAAGAGAAGATCTGGTACAAATCTGTGGTCCTGCTGATGGAATTCGGCTATACAATGCACTTAAATCAAGGTAAATAGTTCATTGGTGTCAACTCTACCTATGTCAATTGTATAAAACATTCTGTCTTAGACTAGAGGGTTTGGGAGATGCTAATTTAGCTTTTCGATTGGCATATGCCTGTGTGAGCTCATGCAAGAATTGGAAGTACTGTGCTCAAAAGAAGAATGTTTTGTTGTACACCTTCAGGGCAGGCCACAGATATGATGCAGGCACTGATGAGCTCAAAGGTAGACTGTAAGACTGATAGCAATGCAGTTGGGCAGTTCTGATTTCTTGAAGACGGATGGGTTTGTTGCCAAGAGACAAACCTCATTTAGGTGAGCTATAACCAAACTAAAGTTCTTGAGGTCATGGCTACTTACTAAATATTAACAATTGCAGATTTTCTATTTGTGAATTAAACTGGCATAATAGATTTTCTTAACTTGCTGTTACTTCTACTATGGTAGTTGTTTTACAAAAATTAGACCAAACATCAATGTCTTACTTCTTTAATTTAAATGTAAAACTTAATTTACCAGTATTGGGATAACTTCAGTGGTTCTGAAATTGATTATGTGGCTAAACAATATCTGAAAAAATTTTAAGTAGTTCACAAAGAATAACATTAAAGTAATATAATAGAATGAGCATATATTCACAGTATTCTTCAAAAGAATATTTATTTCTTTACATTCTAGGTCTGTTAGGCCACGTCTAACAATCTATGTATGCCAAGAGCAGTCAAGAAGTATACGACTGGAAAGGCAACAAGACTCAGGCAATGGAGTAAAGAATGGTGCACTATTTGGTATGTAATTTCTCTTGGTATCAAATATATTGTTCCTGTACCTTGGAATAATGTTCTTTATGTGTCAATTACAGATTTCTTGGAGGCATTGAAACCAGCCTTTTTAAAGAATTAAAAATATTTTAATCTTTTTTAGTGGGACAAATCTATTTTGAATTATATACTATATTGTTATAAATTATTTGTAACAGAACTTGCATTTGAAAAAGTACACAGAAGTGAGTTTATAGCTGGAGGTTCATATACTGGAATGCATAAATAGCTTTCAGTTTTCTAAAATACAATTCAGGTTTGCTATCCTGAAAACAAATCATGCCAAACTGATACTGCTTAATAGATGTATTAATGAGACTTAGATGAGACTAAAAAAGCTTCCAGTCAGGGGTGAAATGCTCCCGGTTCGGACCGGATTGCCTGATCCAGTAGCGATGGTGGCAGGTGGTTCGGAGAACCGGTAACAAAAATCCCTGCCTCCCCCCACCCCATGCCCAGCTGAGCCGCACAATCATCAGAGGCTCTTTTTTTTTTTTTTTTTACTTTTAAAAGCATTTTTTCTACAACTTCTTCCGCCGAAAAAATGCTTTTAAAAATAAAAAAAAAGCCTCTGATGATCGCACAGCTCAGCTGGGATCGTCAGAGCCTTTTCAAAGCATTTTTTTCTGCAACCTCTTCAGCGGAAGAGGTGGTTAAAAAAATGCTTTGAAAAGGCTCTGACGATCCCAGCTGTGTTGCCTGATCAGCAGAGCCTTTTCAAAGCATTTTTTTGCATTTGCAGAAAAAATGCTGTGAAAAGTTTTAAAAAAAAAAAGTTGGCCATGCCCACCCAGTCACATTAACCCCCCCAAGCCACGCCCACAGAACCGGTAGTAACAAATTTTACATTTCACCCCTGCTTCTAATCCAGATAACTCTCTAACGAAAAATATAAAAACACATTCCCTTCAAACTTGATTGACAAGTAGCAAATTCTAAAAAAACAAGTTTGTTGGGATTTCTAGAGTTTCCTAATCTGATTATATTCGGCATCTTAATTCATCTTAGGTGAAGAATCAACTTTTCAGATTTATGGATAGTAGAAATTGAAGCAAATTATGGGTAACTCAAGGGAAAATATTTAAACTTGAAGCATTGGAAATACAGTTAGTTGAAGTAAATTAAATTTAGCAGAGACAAATATAAAGTGTAATGAAGAGATTGAAAGGAGATGTATACATTACAAGGTGTAATTAAGTATAGTGGTACTTAAAAGTTTGTGAACTCTCTTGAATTTTCAATATTTCTGCATAAATATAACCTAAAATGTGATTTGATCTCTATACAAGGCTTATAATCAGATAAAAAAAAATCCAGTGAAACAAATGAGTAAAAAACATTTCTTGTTAATTTCTTTGTTGAGGAAAATGATCCAATGCCATATATTTGTACGTGGCAAAAATAGGTGAACCTTTGCCTTCAGAACTGGTGTGGCCTCATAGGCAGCAATAACTATCCAAATGTTGATCAATGCTGTACATCAGAAATTTTAATCAGAGATGAATCTCCTTGTACAAATTGGTCCTGGTCTTTTCACATTTCTATAGGATACGACTTTGATTTTGTCTATTCCCAAACATCAACTTTCTTTTAACTGTTTTTTGTCATAAAACCTGTGTATTTTTTTATTGTTCTCTTGCTGCATGGGCGACTTTCCCTTGAACTTCAGTTCATGGGCAGATAACCTGACATTTCCCTGAATAATTTAGTGGTGCAGTTCAGAATCTATCAATGGTAGCAAAGGTTCAATGGCAGCAACGCAGGCTGAAACTATGATATTGCAACCATTTTTCACACATGGAATAAAGTTCTGGAATGAAGTGTTTGCCTTTTTGCCAAACAACACTTCATTCAGGCAAAAAAGTTTGTTTTGATCTGACCACAGAATATTCTTCCAACAGCCTTATCCACATGGTCTTTTGTAAAACTATAGGCAGGCATCAGTGTTCTGTTTGGAGAGTAGTGGTTTAATTCTTGCAACTCTGGCATGCGCATATAGTTGTTCAATGTTTTCCTGATTGTGGTCTCATGAACACTGGTGTTTCCCAATGCAAGAGAAGCTTTTGGTTCCTTAAATATTACCTGGGTTTTTGAGACTTACTGGAGTAACACATGCCCTTCTCTTGATGTGATCTTGGTTGGTTGTCCATTCCTGGAGAGGGTAACAATGGTATTGAATTGTGTCCATTTATACACAATCTGCCTTTCAGTGGACTGGTGGAATTCAAATTCTCTGAAAAGAGTTTTGTAACAGGATGAACAACTGTTTTCCAGAGGTCCCGAGAAATCATTGTTTAACCTGTACCTTACTTCCATATATCTGTGTTGTGAAGATCAGACTTAGATGAATTCCCAGAATTCTATTATTTAGGTAAGGCAGGACTTTTACCACCAGATCTGATTATCATCATCCTAGAGCTTCACATACTTTTGCCATATACAGATATTGTATCATTTTTTCTCAATAATTCAATGAACAAATTCAATATTTAACTCAATTATTTAGTTAGGTTCTCTTTATTTAGCTTGGGAGTTGTATGGATACAGAACACATTTTAGGTCATAGTTACAAAGAAAAATTAAAATTTCAGAAAGATTCACAAATTTATACTCATTACAAAATAGATGCCATTTTGTATAAATAAATATTTAAATATAATGTTTCAATGACAAAAGGAGCACGGTTGAATTAATAAGTGCAGTGTATTCAAATTTTGAGAAAAACATTTGGTCGAAAACCCTATAAAATCATATTCTGAGTGCTGTAGTGAGTATTTCCGTAATGATTAAAAACATAAAGGGTAAATTATATAAAAGTATGTGGTGGAAGTTAAGCCATTCATTGAGAAAGGTACACTTGTAAAAATAGAAATGTTCTAGGAATAAAAATATTCTCCCACATGTTCTGTTGTTTCTTCCAGCCATATTGATCTAACTGCCTGTGAAATGAATTGACAGTTTTTTGTATACTGCTTTGTCCTAAACAATCCTGTTTTATGTGGAACATCACAAACTACTACTTAGCCATCAGAATAACTTCAAAAAAATGCCCACTCCATTTCCAGACCAACTGGATCAGCAAAGCCTGAGAAAGAGGAGGAATATTAGATTTTAGATACTTATTAAAAAAGCACATTATGAGATATTCACATATTCACTTCCATATATAAGAATACACAGCAATAAATCTCCTTTCCCAAAGTGCAAGATTGTTTTCCGTCTTAAAAACTCAATTTACAGGAAAGATTCTGCTGTCCGTAGATGTGGCATTTGAAGTCAGGATTGATTACATTTGCACAGAGTAAGATCATACATATTTATGGAACAAGGGGATGCTTTCACTTAGAAAAATATAGATTTATTTTATTTTTTTTACAAAAAGGCAAAGATCATGCCAGTCCATTTTCTCCTTTCATATATAGCATGGCTTAACTATAGTTCTTTCAATGGCTATTATACTATTTTAGAGTTTATTCTCTATTTCAAAAATTATTTGGAAAGAATATTTTGTTCCTTGGCTGAGTTCTATTTCAAGAATATTATGAAAGATAGTAATAATCTTCATTAATGTTTGGGCCATCTTTCAGCAGCTGGCATTCAGATTTGAGGTTCTGCAGAACTTAATTCAAAGACTTCTACTTGAATTAAAGAGAAAGGAATATATGAAGTGCATCTGCAGGCTGTATGTTTCAAACATCAGTGTGCAGATCGAAATATAAAAAATGGTTTTTACTGATCTCTGTGCTAGCAAGCTATGCTTCATAGTACTGCAATTTTATAGAATAGAACACTAATAATTTAATAAAAGGAATAAAGAGGAATTTGTGTTTGAAGAGCCGTACTATGGGGTCTTTTAGAAGACCCTTTCTTAAGATATTTTTTTATTTTAGTTTACCATGCAATCTACTTGGAAGAAATGGCTGCCTCGGAAGTCACTCGCAAGCTTGCTTTGGTGTTCAATATTCCTTTACATCAAATTAATCAGGTTTACAGACAAGATCCTACTGGTATCCATATTCTTGTCAGCGATCAGGTAAATTCCATTTTCCCCTCACTAACACACATTTTACATTTCAAAAATTCCAAAACAACACAATCAGTTTGTGCTTTCTTCCTGGCTTGGTTGCCACTGCTATTACAATTAAGGGTACGAATTCAAATTCTAAATGAAAGACAAGACAATCAACATACTAACCTTGTTTTTTATATTAAATTTATTTTTCATATAGTCTTAGTTAATATTTTGTTTTCCTTAAAATTCAAATGAATTGATCAAATTTTTAATATTACAATACAAACAATTCCTATTAGCTTAACTTTCACCCTATCAATTAAGCAAAAGAATAAAGCAAAAATCATTGAAAAATGATTCTACTTCTTAAAACTGTCTCAGTTCAGGAACAAATGGATGATTAGTAACTCGTCCTTTGACTTAAAATGCTTAGACTATCACTTGTCTGATGTCTTCTTTGTGAACACCAGTGTCTCACTTTTGTTGCCATGTTTCTGAACATTCCAGGTATATAGTATGTAATATGTGACCTTTATTTATAAATAAATATATCAGATCCATATAATAACTATAATATTTTGAAAAAAAGCAATAAAAACTATGCATTATTAGATATTACTACACTTTTGACTAAATCAGAAAAGATGTTCAAATGAGAAAAGAACATTACAGTTATTTGTGGGACTATTTGTTAACTTTTATGTAATATATTAAACTGATCTGACAATTGTCAACAAGGAATAGTATTTATAATCTTCCTCCCTAGATGGTCCAAAACTTTGAAGATGAGAGCTGCTTCTTCATTACCACAATAAAAGGTATGATGATAATCATGAAAACAAAGAAAATCAAACATTATTATCTGCTATATCTCTAATCATAGATTTTGTATTTATGAGATTTTTAACTATATTATATTAATTGAGCTTTCCAGAATTTATTTTTAAGTCCTAGCTTTACATATAATGTTATATCAATTTAGCATGGGAATGAGTCTAAGTGAGCCCTAAACTCAAGTGCAGCCACAGAAAGATTGATTTATTGTATCATTCAAGCATGTCAAGTCATTATTAATCTTATATACACTTGTTAAACCTATGAACTGTGTTTTATGATAACTTGTTTGCCTTGACACTTCTAAAAATTAACAAGTTAGAATTAGGAAAATAAATTCATCTTTGACCCCTCTAAAATGAAATCAAAAGCTTCACCCTACCACACACAAGTTCTAGCATTTAATAAGATTTCTCTTGGTATTTATACATCACATTTAGTCTGAAATGTGAATCATCTAAAATGGTGTACACAGAAGCATTTTATGTCAGAGATACTGTTGTTATCTGTTATACTGTTTGATATTGCTGTATGGATTTATAAATGTCCCTTAAGGGCATGTTCCAAATGGATTTTTGCATGTCTTCACTGAGTTTTGCCCAAGAATTGCTGAAAAGAGCCACACTTTAAAAGATCTTTTTCATATAATTATTACATTTAACCAAATGTTATAACCATAATATATAACCAAAATTAAATTTTAGTCCATTCCAATAAATAGTTCCTCAGACAGAAAAATGTTTGAAAATTATTGGAACATCAATATTAGTGTCAGTTACATTTGTGACGGATGATACTGAAAGGAGAGGAAAAATAGTAGAAAGAGGAAACCGGAATACCACCCCAACTTCTTAGTTATTATTTTCATAAAAAATTTACAAGTTTATATAAATAAATTTAAAAGTTAATAATCTGTTTCTATAAAATCAAATGATAATTGTTCATTCACAAGTCATATACCCTGCTTCCCCAAAAATAAGACCTATCATGAAAATTTATTTTATTTATTTATTTTATTAAATTTCTGTACCGCCCTTCTCCTGAAGGACTCAGGGCGGTGAACAGCCACGAGATAAAACACATAAATACAAAAATTTAAAATGAATTAAAAACGAATTAAATAATTTAGCTGAATTTAAAATACCCCATAATTTAAAACAAATTAAAATTTACATTTAAAAAGGGGAGAAGACCCCTGTTTTAGGGGTTTCCGGTGTGGTAGTGAGGTGTAGGAAGATGGGACTCTGCTCTTTTTACCCGATTTTTTGCACCTGGAGACCGGCAGTGGTAAAGTTGGACCTTGTAGAGGACAGCAGAAGAAAAGGGAACACTCAGAGGTGATGGGGTGAAGGGCGATCCCCCATTGCGGAGAGTGGATTCCCTGGAATCCGGCATGGAAGAGACCAGCCGTTTCTCCGGCTAGGTCCAGAGGCGTGACAGCCCAAGTAAATGGCGAGGAAGTGAAAGAGGGAAAAACAGCAGGAAGTATCGGCAGTAAAAGTTTAAGCAAATAGAACACCGTACTACTACCCTAAATTAAGGAAATCTGTCAAGAAGTGACTGAGTGAGTCTCCAAAGTGTGAAAAGTGACGCCTAAGCAGTGGGAGCAGAAAAGAAAAAACTAAGCAAAAAGAGACAGTATTGAATGGACTGAGAGTGAAAGTGTTTTGTATATTGTGAATGGTGATCTGAAAGACTGCCGTGTTTAAAGACTGGAAGATTTGATGCGATAAAGATAGTGTTGTGAGATTTATGCTGAGAACAGATGAAAACAGATTTTACTTGGAAAGGAAAAAAGAAAGAGAAGAAGAAGCTGTGGAGAAAGGACAGTGACTGTGCAATCTATTGATAGCAGCCATTTTTCATCTTGGAGAAACGAAAAACAGCAGCCTCCTTTTTTGACTATCTTTTTGATAACTTTGGAACTGGACTTAATTATAATTAATTGCCTATCTTTTATATATTTATACATTTACATATTTTCTATCAAATATTAGGAATTATTTCATCTCATATTAGGAATTACCTAGTGGCGATAAAAGCAGCGAAATGTAGCTATTTCGCTGCTCTTATTGCGTCATCAAATAATCGCCCAGCCGCCCTGTTTAGGGTGATCCACTCCCTGCTCCACCAGGAAGCGCGAGAGGACCCCTTGGAGGGTAGAGCCGAGGATTTTGTTCAATATCTGTATGACAAAATCACTCAGATTCGGGAAAATCTGGACTCCGACTGGGTAGTCTCAGGGGGAGGGACTGGGGCAGGTCTTGAGAATGTTATCTGGGATGAGTTTGATCCTGTGACCCCTGAGGACGTGGACAGGATTCTGGGTAGACTGAATGCGACCACTTGTTTATTGGACCCCTGTCCCTCCTGGTTAGTGCTGGCTTCCCAGGAGGTGACACAAGGCTGGCTCCAGGGGATTATAAATGCTTCGTTGGATGAGGGTGACTTTCCTGCCACCTTGAAAGAGGCGATGGTGAGGCCTCTCCTCAAGAAGCCTTCCCTGGACCCGGCAATGTTGATTAATTATCGTCCGGCCTCCAACCTTCGTTTTGTGGCGAAGGTTGTTGAGAGTGTGGTTGCACAACAGTTCCCCCAGCACCTAGATGAAACGACGTATCTGGATCCGTTCCAGTCGGGCTTCAGGCCCAGGTACAGCACAGAAACGGCATTGGTCACGTTGGTAGATGATCCCTGGAGGGCTCGGGACAAGGGGTGCTCCTCTGTCCTGGTCCTGGCTTTTGATACCATCGACCATGGTATCATGCTGCACCGGTTGGAAGAGTTAGGGGTGGGAGGCACTGTGTTGCGGTGGTTCTCCTCCTTTCTCTCTGACCGGTCGCAATCTGTGTTGACAGGGGGACAGAGGTCGACCCCGAGGCCCCTCATATGTGGGGTGCCGCAAGGGTTGGTCCTCTCGCCTCTCCTGTTCAACATTTATGTGAAGTCACTGGGCGAGATCATCCATGATTTCGGGGTGAAGTACCACCAGTACGCTGATGACATCCAGCTGTACATCTCCACCCCGGATCACCCCAACGATGCCCTTGAAGTGATGTCCCAGTGCCTGGAGGCCGTACGGATCTGGATGGGGAGGAACAGGCTCAGGCTCAACCCATCCAAGACCGAGTGGCTGTGGTTTCCGACGTTCTGATATAGTCAGTTGGCGCCATCACTGACTATTGGGGGCGAATCATTGGCCCCCACGGAGAGGGCTCGCAACTTGGGCGTCCTCCTGGACTCACAGCTGTCTTTAGAAGAGCATTTGACGGCCGTGACCGGGAGGATTTTTCATCAGGTCTGCCTGATTCGCCAGTTGTGTCCCTTTCTGGATCGGGACTCCTTACGCACGGTCACTCATGCCCTCGTCACCTCCCGCCTGGACTATTGCAATGGTCTCTACATGGGGCTCCCCTTGAGGAGCATGCGGAGGCTCCAACTGGCGCAGAGTGCAGCCACGCGGGTGATAATGGGAGCGACATGGCGCTCCCATGTAACACCTCTCCTGTGCGAGCTGCACTGGCTCCCGGTGGTCTTCCAGCACCCGCGCTTCAAGGTTTTGGTTACCACCTTTAGAGCACTCTATGGCTTAGGACCTGGTTACCTATGGGACCGCCTACTACCACCAATAGCCTCCCACCGGCCAGTACGCTCTCATAGAGAAGGACTCCTCCAGGTGCCGTCAGCCAAACAATGTCAACTGGTGGCCCCTAGGGGGAGAGCCTTCTCTGTGGGGGCACCTACTGTCTGGAATGAGCTCCCCCCGGAGATACGGAGGATCCTGGATCTGCGCACCTTCCGCCACGCTGTGAAGACCTTTTTATTCCACCAGGCGGGCTTGGCCTAATCTTTTCCCTCTTTTAAAAAATGTAAATTTTAATCTGTTTTTAAATTATTGGGGTGTTTTAATTTGTCTGGGCCAAAATGGTTTAATTCGATTTTATCTGGTTTTTTAAATTTTTTGTATCTATGTATTTTATTGTTTGGCTGTTCACCGCCCTGAGTCCTTCGGGAGTAGGGTGGTATACAAATCAAATAAACTAAATATATTCTAACATATTAATTTCTTTCCTTCCTCCTATCTATATATCTATACTTAGTTATAAAACATTTACTCTTTAATATATTGATTATAGATTTGGTTTTACTTCTTTGCCTACTATATATATTGAATTGGAAGAAATTGTAGCTTAATTTAAGATATCATATGTTTAACACTAATAAGTAAAAATATTGCTGTGTGTAATAGTTGATCAGTATATTAATGGTGGATAGAAAATAGAATTTACAGCTGGTCAGATTAAATTTGCATTTTACTTAGTATAACTTTTGGAGAGATAAAACCGGGGCAATGATCTAGGTAGATATTCTTACAACATAGGATTAAATTCTTTATGGTTCAGTGGAACAATTTTTTTCAAGAACTTAAAATGTCAAACACATCCACAGTTACAAAAACGGTAAAGAAGGCAACCCCATTGACAGCCTCTTCAGCAGGACAAAAATTAATAACGGACATGCCAAATACTGAGAAACTAGGATCAGTTCCAACATTACAGAACATACAAATAGCATTAAACATGATACAGGAAGTAATGATGAAAACACAGGAGTCCATGAACAATAATCACGAAGAAATGAAAGTAGAAGTGGGTGACGGAAAGGGAAATATTAAAAAATTAGATGACAGAATGGGAAAGATTCAAGAAACAATAGCGAAAAACGAGCAAAAAATTACAATAGAGGCAAAGACAGAACAAACCGAAAAGAAGTTGGAATACACGGAGGAGAAATTAACAGCAGCAAACAGCTTGAGGAGACGATAATCCATTTAGAGTTAGAAAGATCTTCTTTCTGCCTAAGATTTCAGAATGTAAAAGACAGCAAAGAAGATCATCTCTGTAACCTTATGAGGGAAATACTGGTAGAGTCGCTACAAATGAATAAACACGAAATTCAAAACAATATAGATGAAGTATATTGA